TGTACGTGGCTTGTGTCAGACCACACCTAGAGAAGCTTGCTTCCCATGCTTCCAAAAACGAATGGAGCTGCTGAGGCTGAAGAGAGTACAGCGAAAAGCAACTAGGATGATATATGGGTAGGCCATCTTAAAACATGAGGATAGGCTTAAGGCTTTGGATTGGTATTCACTGCAATATCGTAGACTTTGAGGAGATTTGATAATGGCATTCAAGATTATGAAAGGGATAGACGAGGCAGATGTACAGGGAGCGCTGGAGGTTGGGCCGAGACTTAGTTGGAACCAATTTAAAGTAACAAAAGGTAAGAGTAGAGCTATGCAGGGGCAGATGTGATTTGGTCAAAAAAAGTGAATCATTGGAACGGATTGCCAAACGAAGTTGCAGGAAGTCCCTCCCTAGCAACATTTAAGAATCGTTTGAACAACTTCTATCGGTCTAAGGATCTCAGTTATAGCTACATTCAGGCAGGTCAGGTGGTAAGATTGGTGTCAAGGGTGAGTGCGGAATCTGGGTTAGGCCAACCTCGATGGCCCCTTGTGGCCCTTTACTGGCCTGATGTCTGCATGTTTATATGTCTAACGCCGTCGAAGGAATGAACCGGTCACCAATCAGTTCACCCCTTCTGACCTGTCTGCTGTCGAGGGCATGCGCCTGGATTAGTACTGTTCCGCACAGCATCTTTGTGCTGCGTTGCAGTCTAAGGCCCAAATTTACAGTTGAGAAAGAAGGCGCCCTGGATCGCGAAGGCCTTATTTTTGCTGTAATTATACCATGCCCGACCCCAGTGTCTCTACGCGACCAATAAGTCACAGTATTGTGTCAGCCCATGCATGGCAGAGTTGTCTCACAGTGATACGCAGTACCGTGCCATCCCGCGCCTGACAGCGTTGTCTCCAGCGGTCAGTGATACACGGTACCGTGTCATCCCGCGCCGGACAGCGTTGTCTCTCCTGGTCAGTGACGGAGAGCTGCCGTGTTATGTCTTGTCTGACAGCGTTGTCTCCGCCGGTCAGTGATACGCGGTACCGTGTCATCCCGCGTCTGGCAGCGTTGTCTCTCCCGGTCAGTGACGGAGCGGTACCGTGTCAGCCCGCGTCTGACAGCGTTGTCTCCGCCGGTCAGTGATGCGCGGTACCGTGTCATCCCGCGCCGGACAGCGTTATCTCTCCTGGTTAGTGACGGAGCGGTATCGCGTCAGCCCGCGTCTGACAGCGTTGTCTCTCCCGGTCCGTGACGGAGCGGGCCGGTCAGGCCTCTTCTGACAGCGTTGTCTCTCCCGGTCAGTGACAGAGCGGTACCGTGTCGTCCTGCGTCCGACAGCGTTGTCTCTCCCGGTCAGTGACGGATCGATACCATGTCGTCCTGCGCCTGACAATGTTGCCTTTCCCGGTCAGTGACGGAGCGGTACCGTGTCGTCCCGCGCCTGACAACGTTGCCTTTCCCGGTCAGTGGCGGATCGGTACCATTGTCGTCCCGCGCTTGACAACGTTGCCTTTTCCCGGTCAGTGACGGAGAGGTACCGTGTCGTCCCGCGCCTGACAACGTTGCCTCTCCCGGTCAGTGACGGAGCGGGCCGGTCAGGGGTGTTCCTGGCGATTGACGCCAACATTGAGTTGGCCGAGGAGGACGGCGTGTTCGACGTCTACGGCTACCTGAAGAAGATGCGGCAGGCTCGGCGGGGTCTCATCGAGACGATCGTGAGTGCCGAGCGGTCGTCAGCGCGGGTGCACGTGCCGACCGGCTGGGGTTGAGATGGAGGGGAGGGGGGGGGGGCAGCGGGAGGTGATCGTGAGGTGAGTACTGAGCAGCCGCCGGAGTAAGAGCGAACGTGCTGGCTGGCGTAGGGGGCCGGGTGGGGATCGATTGACGCGGCAGACTAAAGATGATCTTCGATGGCGTTAATGATGAGAGGATGGTGAGTTCGGTGGCCGCGTTGATGTGTGAAGAGGGCGTTTTTGCATAGTACTCCTTTTTGGCGACAATGAGCTGTTTCAGATGGGGGCCAAGCGTTTACACACTGCCTTTATCTTCAACTTGGCACTTGGCCACGAAACTAGGCATACCCTCCACTCCCCAGTGTTGTGGAAGAAAAGTGCTGTGATGAAGGTTCCGGATCCAGATGCGCACTGGCTGGTCTTCGCACACTCAGCTGATCAGCGGCGGGCGCTCTTTCCAGTTGATCGTTTGGACGTGTGGGTTGTCAGGTAGTCGAGCTCGTTTTGGGATCGAAGTGATGGGGCATGATGTGTGGGGAGAGGGAGGGGGCGTTTCGCAGCCAAGCACCCCGGGCACTGCCGTCAAGTGTGGCACCTGATCAATGGACTGGTTCGCTCCATCTCTGGAGCCCCCCCCCCACTAGGAATTCGTAGGCTCCTGGCTGACTCAGGACGCATTCAGCTGGTGACAAAGCCTTAGTGGTGGTGTCGGCCGGTAGCAGTTGTGCTTCTTGGCTGTTCATCGCTGTACTTCTCGGCTGTTCACGAGCAGCGTTGTCTCGGAGTTGTACACGGGCAGCGCGTCGCCCGGAAGGTCACCAGCGGTGTGTGGTGTACACGCGACGCCACGGGCCCGCCTAAGCTGTCCCTGCGCTACCCGCAGGACCAGTACAAGTTTGTGTACGACACGCTGGAGGAGTTCGTCACGTGCGGCTATTCGTCCTTCCCGGTGTCGGAGCTGTCGCAGCGGCTGAAGGAGAAGGCCGTCAAAGGGCTCGACAAGCTGAACGACTACCAGCGCGAGTTCAACCAGATCTGCCGCCAGGTGCCCAAGTTCACGATCGGCGACTGCGCCGGCGGCCACCGCGCCGACAACCGACACAAGAACCGTGACGTCATGATCGTGCCGCGTGAGTCCTCCATGTGTGACGTCATGACAGCGTGACCTCATCGGCCGGCTGTGAGGCGACTGAACGGACCAGGCAGGTTTGCGATGCGCATGGTGGATGATAGGTGAGTGCGCTGCGCTGTGTTTGCGACGACGCCTTGTTTGTGTCAGTAAGCAACTCAGTGATCCCAGATAACCAATGTCCCCAAAGTCACGATGTTGGGTGACAGATGGTGCTTGAAATAACTTCCCTCCACTCCATCGACTTTTTCCTCTTCACTCTCGGCATAGCGTGCCAACGTTGTGTTTGCAAAGGTGGAAATGCGCATGACTGATCCCCTCTTTAATTTGTCTTGCCAGAAAATAAAGCAGGACCCTTTTTAAAAGATCCGCCCTCGGCCTTCTTGTTAATCTTCCACAAAATTCCGGAAATGTTTGTCGTATAACCAGGCGGATCTAAATGATACATTAACACGTGCGCAAAGGCGCACCGTGCAGTAACAATCGCGTGCGGTTATATGTCCCCTCCGACCTTTGAAGTCCATGAACTTTTATTTATGGCACCCTGTGCACCATGTATTTCGGGACGTTGCGATTACCTGGCGAGCCCCCTGTGGTGCCCTGACCCCGCCGGCTGAGTCCACCATGACGCCACATCCGCCGGCGGCCGTCCCGGGTGACGTCACGCAGTGCCGAGCCAGCGCCGCCGGCGCGCGGTGGCGCCTGTGCCGGCGGCGGCGATCGTGGCCCGCTGCTCACCGCCGGCCCGCGGTGGCGCCTGGGCCGGCGGCGGGGATCGTGGCCCGCTGCTCACCGCCGGCCCGCGGTGTTCCCTGGGCCGGCGGCGGTGACCGTGGCCCGCTGCTCACCGCCGGCCCGCGGTGTTCCCTGGGCCGGCGGCGGTGACCGTGGCCCGCGGTGGCGCCTGTGCCGGCGGCGGCAATCGTGGCCCGCTGCTCACCGCCGGCCCGCGGTGTTCCCTGGGCCGACGGCGGTGATTGCGGCCCGCGGTGGCGCCTGTGCCGGCGGCGGCGATCGTGGCCCGCTGCTCACCGCCGACCCGCGGTGGCGCCTGGGTCGGTGGCAACAATCATGGCCCGCCCCTCGCCTCCGACCCGCGGTGGCGCCTGGGCCGGTATTCCGGCAGGCGGCGGCGCTCGTGGCTCGGCGGGACGCGACACCCCCTTTGTGCGCGCTGCCGAGCGGCGACGCTGACGTCGGCGGCGCGTGCGTTTCAGCCGACAACTTCCGCCCGTACCTGAGCTCATTCCAAGGCACCAACTTCACCGACTACATCAACGCCGTGTTCGTGGACGTGAGTATGGCGGGGGGAGTGGGGGGGGGGGGGGGAGCCGGGGTTGGCAGGCCAGCCGGGCCGGACGGCGCGCGCGACGCCGTGTTTTGCCGAGCCGGCGCGGTCAGGGACGGGCCGAAAGGCGAGCCGTCGTCGCCGCCACCGCGGTGGACGGCTGCCTGTCGCGGCGGCCGGCACGCGCGGCATCCGGGCGGGAGCGCCGCCGGAATGCGGCCCGCGCGTTAATTTGTCAGGCTCCGTTTCGTGGCCGGTTGTGCGGCGTTTTGAGGTCCGGAATGTGGTGACCCGCCCGGCGCATAGCTGCGGAGAGCGGTCCGAAGTCCGCAGCTCAGCGTTCCGAGCTTTTTCCTCGAGGAGAATGTTTGGCTGGCCGCCGGGGGCGGTTATTTTGGTGCGGGTCGGAATAGGATTCCTCGTGTAACGTATTTGATGTCCATTTTGAAAAGCTTGTCATTTGCGGAATGCCAGGTTATCGGCCTTCGCATTCCGTGGTCACGTCTCAATGTGAAGCACTTAGGGAAGAACGGAATGTCTTCAGGGAGTCGTGCGATGGATTTTATGTGGTTGGTGGACACACCGCTGTGTTGGTACCCTTTACTGGAATACGTAGTTTTAGTAACCCTACAGTGAGCCAAATTTGGTGTGTTGTACCTATTGAAATGTTGCGTGATTTACAAAACGCTGTTTTTAAGTGATGTCAGTCCGTCATTTGCCGTTTGATATTGACCTGGAGACTCGCGCGTGGGCGCAAATCTCGAGAGGTCAATTTCGGAGTTAAGTAATTTTACGACAGTCCTTGGTTGTTCTCAGTTTCGTTCGTTAGAGGGTCATTGTCTCGCTGTGCATTGCTTTTATGTTGTACCAGTATAATTCTTGGGGTTTGCACGTAGTGATGTGATGATTCACTAATTTCGTACAAACGGTTAGCCTGTGTTGTTTTTTGCCGCGGCTTTTGTTTTTGGGCATCGAGCCACACCCCGCCCACGGAGACTTTTCTGGCATGCTTCCCCAGTCCCCGCATTTGCGGTTGGCGCGGCTGCATCCGCCGCCTTGTGGCCGTCCGCAGTGGCCGTGTCCCTCGTACCCCAGTCCATGGCGGTTCGCTCGGCGCGGCTGCAGCGCGCGCGCGCGCCTGACACCGCAGACGCCTCTTGCAGGAGTACAACCGCGCGCGGGAGTACATAGTGACCGAGTGGCCGCTGCGCTCCACGCAGAGCGACTTCTGGAGCCTGGTGTACGACCACGACTGTAACTCGATAGTGGTGCTCACCAACCCGGGCGACAGTTCGGTAAGGGGCACCCGCCGCCGGTGTCGCCGCCGCCGCCACCGCCGCCCACTGCTCACGCGCCGCTGTTGCAGGGCTACACGCACCCGCGCGAGTACATCGTCACAGAGTGGCCGCTGGCCAGCACGGTGCCTGACATCTGGTCCATGGTGTACGACCACGACTGTAGCGCCGTCGTCGTGCTCTGTAACCCAGAGGCGTCGCCGGTCAGTCACGCGACGGTGGCGCCGCGCCGCGGCCGGCCCGTCAGCTACGCGGCTTCCGCAGCTTGTGGCGTGCCCGCTTTGCCCGGCCGGTGTGTGACGGCTTGTGCCCCCCCCCCCCTCGCCCCCGCGCCTCCGCCCGCGGTCAACGGCCAGCGGGGACCGCGGTCACGTGTGCCCCGTGTGTTCCGCCCCGGCCGGCGCGGAGCGCAGACGGCCCGTGCTGGGACGAATGCCGTGCGTGAGCGTTGCCCTGTTCTCCCGCGTAGATAGTCGCCGGACAGTCGCGCTTTCGAGGCCGGGCGCGGGTGACTGCTCTCCGAGACGGCCGCCGCCGAGGCTTGTGCGATAAGCGGTTTTATTGCTGTTTGGTTTTAGCAGCTTTTTCGTTGGGTGCGCCCGCGAGTCGACAGTTGTAGTTTGCCGCAGTTGCGCTATGTGTGAATGCCGCGCGACGCTCTCCGTGGAGTGTTTACATTTTGGCGTGTTTTAGTAGATTAGTCGGCTGTTGCAAGGCAGGTTGCCACGCGCAGCTTATGTGCGCCGTCCGCGGTGCCCCCTTGACACTCGCGCACGTACTGCCTGCAGATGTGCAGCGTTCTCCGGCTAACAGTGGCGCACACGCAACACACATGCGCTATGAGCATACTGTGTGTTTCCGCGTGGCGTTACATGGTTATAGAACATTCCGAGAAGCGAGCCAGTCTCAGCGGAATGATCGCGGAAATGCTTTAGTGAGGCGCGGCCGTCAGCTGTGCGATCTTGCCTGTCCACACAACACCAACGAAATGTATCGTGTGTGTCTGTGGATAAGACAGCAGTAATAGCCTTACTCCTTGGAGAAAGGCCAGGAGAATAGAGACATGAGAAGTGAATTCACTTCTGCCATTGTTTCGATGAAGGCATGTTACCAGAATATCAACCCATGTATAGATATATATACATATCTATACATAGATATATAGATATAGATACAGATATAGATATATAGATATAGATATAGATATAGATATATATATATATATATATATATATATATATATATATCACCGTTCTCCTGGTGTTTTTCTCCGAGGGATAAGGCTAGTGCTACTGTCTTATCTATGTGAATAATGTTCCTCGCTAATGCACTGAACAACTTTCGCGTGCGTGTGTTTTTGTGTCAGGCTATGGACATCGGTGTCCTAGGTATATTGCGGTGAATTTGGTCGCACGGTGACCAGTTTTTGTTCTGCGTCGCAAAGAGTACTGCTCGTTTTATTTCTAAAGCGCAGCTGACGGGCTACCTTAAACAGGGTGATAGTGAACGGTGTGCAAAATCTTCACATTAAGTGTGCGATCATTTTTCGCATGACCGTGAATATATGTGTGTCATGCATTTATGTTCAAAGCGTTGTTGCTCTCATGTTCAGGACACAATTTGCACACCACTCAGTCATCACTTTGTTTGAAGGATCCCCTCTGTGCTCATGTTACCCAGTTTTGCTTTCTGTTTTACGCGAGGTAAGCCAGTGTATGGCTTGTTGGACCCATCTGTTGGACACATCTTTTCGTTTCGTTAAGTAGCGTTATTTTTTCGCAGCCTACACTAGACGAGTGCCGTGTCCCCAGTGATGTTCAGCCAGTGGTGTCGCAGGGATGTGGGAAGGAAGTGATGGCCCTTCTATTCCTCCTCAATGCTGCGTTTAGGTCACCTCCGATCTGCTGAAGAAGCACTCTCGTGGCGTGAACATATGTACTCAGTGTCAATACTTGTGCGTCTCAATCGCCACCGACGGCGCGTGGCATGGGTTGACGCTCAGCTAAACAGCCGCCGCCTAGAGAAGGCGAGTCATTGTCGCAGTAGCGCTGATGAGTCTGATGGACTGATTCATATCCCTCGTTTGGCTCCCTGCCGCTCCACTGGCTGAATTGGGGACCCGCTCCCCGCGTGACGTCTGTGGCTGACTTGATGTGACGTGGCGTGCCCGACATCATTCGCACAAGGTCGTACGCTTTATTTGCATTTAACGCACTTAGCACATCGGAACAAATAACATTCCTGTATATAGAGTGTTTGGCATAGATGGCTTCATGTTGTGCAGTGTTTCCACCACCTCCATACGTATATGGATGCTCCCGCGTTTACCGAAAGTACCCCCCCCCCCCCCCCTACTCCCACCGCGCCCCCGTCACTGGAAGACCACACCCATCGATTGTTGGTCCTTCGTCGCTCTTTCGATGGCAACATGGCGACGTTGTTAGATTACACATCTTCTACACACGCACGCGCACCCCTCACAAGCACACGCACCCGCACAAGCACACGCACACGCGGACTTACACTCGCACTTACACGCAAGCGCACCCCGCACAAGCACACGCACCCGCACAAGTACACGCACACGCACAAGCACACGCGCACGCGCACGCGCACGCACGCACGCACGCACGCACGCCACGCACGCACGCACGCACGCACGCACGCACCACACACTACATCGTCTAGAGAACCTGATGCTACAGTGCAGATGCGATAGTATCTGCTTGCGTTTGATTAGTCCGCGCACTTTGTTCATGTGTTTTGTCCATTATTGCCTGGGCCTCTTGGTCGGTTTTTGGTCTCAGACATACAATGGATAGTTGGCGTTGTTGGGAGAAGGCTGTTGAGTTTGCGTCTGTCGTAGCATTTCACGTAAAAAATAGTCAAGCGTATGTCCATCTGCAATCAGTGCGTACTGCGAAAGGTAATATATTACGTGACGTGGCTACACCCAGTGACGCATTTTTGTCGCTCCAGCTCATGTTAGGACCGTGGCTTCCACTAAAAGGGGCCATATGATGCCAAATTGTGAGATAATTTCTGAGTGCCTCACGCAGCATCGGTTTTCATAGTTAACGAGATTGGACAGTGTGATACATGTCGTGGCTAATCGGACTGGAGTTGGCGGTTGGTTTTGCCCGTGCAGTTGTGCTCATCTCCGCGTATGCATCTGACTTCCGGCGTTGCCATCCGCATCGTTTGGTTTTTGGATTGTTTCCCGTCTGATTACCGTTACTGGACTGTTCAAGTAAACCCGATTTCGCAAACTTTGCCGTTCGAGTAACTGCTCAACATCTTCTTATTTATGACTTCCCCGTGAGGTAGGTTTGACTTAGTGATGATCCCCATCCCCACCGATAATCTTCAGTGTTGCGCGGTGTTCAAATCGGCGCCTGTCAGTCTGTCGTGCGTCTCGGCCGATGGGACGCTACGGCAGAAGGGGTGTATCGGCCAGCGCCGCGTGCCGCGCCGTGGTCTCGGACGTGACGTCAGGACGCTGAGCGGTGGCCGCCGTTGCAGAGCTTTCCCCACTTTTGGCCGGAGAGCACCAGGTCCAAGAAGTACGGCACCGTGTTCACTGTCGAGCACATATCGCACCAGCACTACCAGAACATCAAGTCCTGGGTCTTCAAGATCAACAAAAAGGTAGCGTGCTGGCCGTTTGCTTCAGGTTTGCTCTTCGTTGTGTCGTCTGGCATGATTTTGTGTGTTGTTTGATATAGTTTTGCAACTACACTTTTATTTGCGCGCTGCTTTCAACTTCCGTTGCGTTTTGACTGCGTTCCCTCGTTTGCGGGACCCGTTCCCTGCGTACTGCTGTCGGGCCAGCAGATAACACTGTCGTGTCCTCTGTTGCATCACACAGCATAGCGGCCTAGCTCCCCACACTCGCACTCGCGAGCGCTGCTCTGACCTTTCTCTATTTGGTACTAGGAGATAGCGCCGTACCGTAAGACCATATCGACCAACGTGGACCCACATCAAGGCTCGCAGGTGAGAACTGGCGCTGCATGCAGAGATTCGCCAGCGGCCAGGCAATTGGACTGGGGCTGAAGAACGGTGGCTTCGTCAAGGGATGAGATGAGTGCGGCTCGTATCCTGGCCAGTCGGTGCGAGTGCTCCATGTCACCATGTAGCGCTCGCATGTCTCGCATGTCGCGTGTCGCTGAGCCCTCCATGCCAGCATCGTGACCGTGTTGCGTCAGCATGGGCCGCGGTGTTCTCGTCATCACTGCCGAGGCTGCGCGTGCCGGCGGCGGTGGCTGAGAGCTGACTTAGGTGTTTTCGTCACGACTGCCGAGACTGCGCTTGCCGGCGTCGGTCGCTGGGAGGTGACTGACGTGGGTGGCTAGCGACTTTCCTTACCCGCGCCATTGAACGCCTGGTGCAGAAGGCAGCGGCTCGCTCCTGGGCCGTCACCGTCGGGGGGCCGCGGAGCCCGGTGTGGCGCAGGTCGCGCTGGGGCCGGTGTGGCGCAGGTCGCGCGGGGGCCGGTGTGGTACAGGTCGCGCGGAGGCGGGTGTGCGCAGGTCGCGCGGGGCCGGTGTGGCGCAGGTCGCGCGGGGCCGGTGTGGCGCAGGTCGCGCGGGGGCCGGTGTGGTGCAGGTCGCGCGGGCCGGTGTGGTGCAGGTCGCGCGGGGGCCGGTGTGGCGCAGGTCGCGCGGAGCCGGGTGGCGCAGGTCGCGGGCCGGTGTGGCGCGGTCGCGCGGGGCCGGCGTGGCGCGGTCGCGAAGCCGGTGTGCGCGGGTCGCGCGGGGCCGGCGTGGCGCAGGTCGCGCGGACATCACCACACCCGCCGCGCGTCGGTAGCTGCCCTAGCCTGCCGGCAGCCCATGTGGGCCTTTGCTGGCGGCCGGGCAGCGCTTGCTGACCCCCGTCCGCAGCGCTCGCTGACCCCCTTCCGCGCACCACCCACAGATCGTCTCGCTGACTGAGCTGATGGCCGGCGTCAAGGCCGAGGTGAAGACGTGCCAGCTGTTCCAACTGACCTGCTGGCCGGCCGCCTACAAGGTGCCCACCTCCACCAACGCGTTGGTCGAGCTGATGAACATGGTGGAGCGGTGGCGGCAGCGCTCCGGCTACGGGCCTGTGGTCGTCGTCTCTCCGTGAGTGCGGGCCGGCGGAGCTGGGCTCGGCGGCTGGCGGCTGGCTCCTGTGTCGGCTTCGCTCGCTCTGTTCCCGATGTGGGCCGTGCCACACGGCCGCTCCGAGGGGGCTGAGCTGTGTTTGGGACAGTCTGCGTGGGCCGCGGGCAAGAGGTTCGCGGGTGCCCGGCGTGGCGTTGAGATGTAGCTGCTCGCGACTCCGGGAGGATCTCATTTCATGGCCAGCTGAGGCTACCTCGGTGTTGGCTTTGCGAGCCGTCAAAGGTCTCCGTGGACGTGGCCTCTGTTCAGCGCGCGCTACATGGGCGGTCTTACCTCGTCTGAACGCTGTCTGTCTCGCACAGCCTGACAGTCCGGTGTCACGACCGATCTCCGGGCCCTCCGTTGTCATGCGTGAGGCGCTCCGCCGGAGCGACTGACCGCGGTCGCGTCAGGTCATCATGCGGACCCGGTGAGGTCTGCATGATGCCCTGTCGCCATCGCCCGCCTCCGCTCGATGGCGGCGTCGCCGTCGTCCGCGGGCGCGTCTCACCGCGCCGCCACGCGTTCCGCAGTGACGGCCAGTGCCGAGCGGGCGTGTACTGCGCGGCCAACGCGTGCATCGAGCAGGTGATCCAGCACAGCGAGGTGGACGTGTTCCAGGCGGTGAAGACGGTCCGCCGGCATCGGCCGCAGCTCATCTCCAACATGGTGAGGCCACCACTCCCTCACCCCCCTCCCGCCGGTGAGGCCGGCCCGGCTACGCAGATGTTCGGCCCGTTCTCCAGGAGTGTTACCCATACCAGGGGTGACGACAGCCCGTGATGTGCTGAGCTCTCCTCCAGCCGCTGCCCGGATGGTAAATCTCAACTATAACGTGACCTTACTTGACCTGATCACTTTCAGCTGCTGTGCTTGGCTAATTTCGGCTGATGCAATCTTGGTCGATAAACCTACTCGCATCAAACGCGTGCCGCGCTTCACAAATGCAATGTTCCATCAGTCTCGGTTCGGAATGCGGTGTTCCGGGCGGCGGGGCTGGGGATTCGGCCACGGGTTAGAGCTAGTTGGCTCACCCGGCCGTGAGGCGCTATGGAACACGGTTTGACGCAGCGCCGTCCGCCGGCGGACCCGGCCGTGCTGGTCCGGCCCCTGTGGCGGCACGGGCCTCGCTGCGGCGACGACGGCACTGAGCGGGGACGAGGCGCCGACTGGCCACTGGAGGGGCCGCTGGGCTGAGCCGTCGCCTGTCCGTCCTTCGCAGACCGAGTACAAGTACTGCTACGACCTGGTGCTGCACTACGTCCTCCACTATCTGAACCAGGAGGCGGCCAGCCACTAGTGACGGCAGCGGACGGGCGGGCCGCCGCGACGGTCTGGAGAGGCTGCTGCCGGCTGCCGCACACTCCTGCCGGCCGTGCACTGGTCTGCCTATGTGATGTGGGAAAGCTGGCAAGTGCGGGGTGGCCGGCTGCGTGACTTCCCCGCGCTGATGATCGGGTTTGGGCCTGATCTGGATCTGGATCTGGGTCTGGATCTGGGTCTGGTGCCGGGTCTGGGTCTGGGTTTCGGCCGCCAACCGTCGGTGGTTGGGATCTCGGCCGGAGGGGTTTCGGCCGCCGGCCGTCGGTGGTCGGGGTCGGGGTCTGGACCGGAGGGCTTTGGCCCGCCAGCCGTCGGTGCGTCGAGGGGCAGCGATGCCGTCAACGGCGTGCTGCACGATCTAACCCCAGGGGCAGGGGCGTCGGCTGTAAAGTCTGAGAGCATTGGAGGTCGAACGGAATTTGGAGCTCTTGGTGTGTGACAAAGGAGCGGATGTGCCATCGCCCGTCTGAGGGTGCCCGTTCTCTTCGGCGAGCGTCATTGAACAGGACTCCCGCGTAGCAGTTATGTATAGCGTTCAGACGTGTAGCAGCTGCGCATGTTTTGTCCGTGCAGTCGGCGGTATTCTGGGTGAAAACGTTAACGCTCGTCCCATGGTGTGAGCGTGTCGTTCATGTACTCATATTACGACAGCGATCCGTACCAGTTCGGTTTTGGTGACTGTTGAGCGCCGGCGTGCGTTGTTTGCGACTTGGAAGTTCAGATTGTATGATTGTTAGCGAGTTATCTGAGGATATGCCTTTCTGAGATGGCTATGCCGGATTTGGCGGCCGCACGTTACCGCCCCGTGCACGGCTGTCTGGCTCAGCGCAGGCGGGCAGGCCGTGCGTCCCCCTGCGGGTGGCCGTCCCAGCGGCGCCGTCGGGGGGGGGGGGAGGGGGAGGCCGTGCGTCCCTCTGCGAGTGGCCGTCCCAGCGGCGTCGCCGAGGGGGGGGGGGGGCAGGCCGTGCGTTTCTCTGCGAGTGGGCCGTCCAGCGGCGTCGCCGAGGGGGCGGGGGAGGGGCCGTACAACCCCTCTGCGAGTGGCCGTCCCAGCAGCGCCGCCGAGGGGGGGAGGCCGTGCGTCCCTCCGCGGGTGGCCGTCCCAGCGGCGCCGCCGGGGGGGGGGGAGGGGGCAGACCGTTCGTCCTCTGCGGGTGGCCGTCCCAGCGGCGCCGCCGGGGGGGGGGGGGGAGGGGGCAGACCGGTTCGTCCCTCTGCGGGTTGGCCGTTACCCAGCGGCGCCGCCGAGGGGGGGAGGCCGTGCGTCCCTCCGCGGGTGGGCCGTCCCAACGGCGCCGCCGGGGGGGTGGGGAGAAGGCGGGCAAGCCTGCACCCGGCGACGAAGCGCCCGGCCTTCGGGACCGCGGCGGGTGTGCGTGTGTGTGCTGACCTACCCGGTTCTGCGCACGCTCCGGCGCCCCCGGCAGCCGGGCGGGTGCAGTCTCGGCCGGGCCATGTTCGGGGCCGACGTTTAGGGCAGCGCGGCCCCGTCGTGAGGCGCGCTGGATAAGGACCTTCGGGGCTATCGGTGCAATTGTGGCTACGCGGTGGCCTTGTGCCTCCGGTTTGTACGGTGAATACAATATAGCCGATCCGGAAGTTGTGCGTCGCGTGCGATGGATAGCAATGGCCACTCAAAAATGTGCGAATGACCACAAAAAAACGATACTGGCCTAGGCCCCAGAATTGTGACGCTCCCAGACGTGAACATATGAAGTATGTTTGCGTCCGATTGTTGAAGCATCGCAGAGAAACGAGGGTGCTGCATGTCATTAAAAGGTAATCTCAGGTTTGATGTCCGACGCTGAGCCACGTCCATTCAAGACCAACGGCAGCGTCAATTGCAACAGCTTGATCAATTCATGTCAACCGCAGACTGACGACGGCCTGCTGCGTTGCGACACTCGCCGATGACTAAAACAGAATTTTATTCAACACGATGGTCCCGAAATCCAACGAGAAACGGGCTCAGGTAAAGCAGCGGATTTCTAAGCTTAAAAGTATTTTGCATGTAATCTGAAGGCACGCTAAGCATGTAAAAATGGCTGTTCGCACTCCAGCAGTCATCCATCGCATATCCCATCGTTAAGCAGTGTACCTCGCACTCGACAGTGGCGATGTTTGAAAACCCGATGAATATCTACAAAAAATGACCCGCCGCGTTCGCCACTCGCTCGCGTGTACGCATGCAGCTTACTTTGGCAACAGATCCTCGAACCTAGGGCAGCAAACGGCGTCCTCAAGCCAAGCGCGGTCGCAGGTGGCGACGGCCGTGTAACAAAACAAACGGGCTCCTTGGCGGCCGTGACCGGGCCGCCTGCACCGGTGCCTACTAAAGATGAGCGCTACTCAACGCGAGAGATCACACAGCTCGGCATTTGGTGACGCGTGAACCAACAGCGAACGGCCAGGACTAGCTCGCCGGCCGCCTCGTCTCTACAGCACACCCCGCGCCCTGTCCGCCAGCGCCCGTCGCCGGCGCGCTCGCCGGCCCTCCACACACCGCGATGGTTTGTACTGTTGCGAGCGAGCGCCGCCAGGCGCCGCTCGTGGTGGCGGCGCCGGCGCTACGCCCCGTCGGGTCCGGTGGGCGCACCGTGTACGCGGAACCGATACACGCACGTGTAGTTCGGATGTCCCCAGTTGGACTTGACGCGTAGTTCGACCACGCTGAAGTCGGCGGCGCCGACGACCTGCGCGCCGAACTCCTGCAGCGGCGGCCCCGCCTCCTCGTACACGTAGTCGCCCAGCACGACGCCCTCCCGGTCCTGGGGGTCGGCCAGGCCCTGGCGGCGTGGTGCAGACAGGTCAGGTGGCGCGCGGGGTTCGGCCGGCCGCGCCACGCAGTCCGGACCCGTGACAGGTCCCGGCACTGCTGCCGTGCAAAGGCAAAACCCACATATTCAGGTTTGGGCATTTTGCGCTTTTTATGTCGTTTGATCTGTCTTCTCCAGTTAAATTCGGTTATCTAAGCCTTGCGTTGAACTTTTCGCAAACTTTTAGCTCAGGAAGGCTAAAAGTTTGTGAGAAAATCGACGAAGGGTTTAAGTAACCCAATTCAGCATGATAAGACGAATCAAAGGACGTAAAAAACACAATGGTCAAACATGAACGTATCGGGTTTTACCTTTGGACAGCAGACTGGCCTCGGACGGTGGTGCTTGGCACAGGCCTGGACACAAAACTGTCGACGCAAATCCTGCGAGCCAAGGCAGCTCTAAAGCTCCGTGAGCCCCAAACTTAAACCATTATCTCCTCCCACATTGTCTGGGGCGGTCTCCACGCTTACACGGTGCATTGGCTTGAAAATCACACCTGAGTAACGCCCACACCTTCACGCCTTCGCCCATCCCACGAGGCGACGCCACACACCAGCACGGTGAACTGTCCGCATGTCCCTGACGATGGGGTGTCCTGAGGAGGCGGAGGGGAGGGAGGGAGCGAGGGCATCACCCACCAGCACGGTGAACTGTCCGCGTGTCCCTGACGATGGGGTGTCCTGGGGAGGCGGGGGGGAGGGAGGGAGCGGGGGCATCACCCACCAGCACGGTGAACTCTCGGGGCGCCGAGTCGATGGCGGCACTGGGCGTCAGGTTACGCGAGATGTGCTCCATCACGAAGCCGGTGGGCACGATCCGTCGCGACAGCGCGATGACGAAGTAGCCCTGGCCGCGGAAGGCAAAGCACTCGCCGGGACTCATGTGCGGCTGCCGATGGAAAGAGAGAGGGTGTAAGCTGGTGACGAGGCGTCGGGCACACTGAGCTCGGCCACGACAGCGGCGAACACTGGTCCAGACGAAGCTGGTGACAGGGTGCCGGGCACACTGAGCTCGACCACGACAGCGGCGAACGCTGGTTCAGAAGAAGCTCGTGGCAGGGTGCCGGGCACACTGAGCTCGACCACGACAGCGGCCAACGCTGGTTCAGACGAAGCTGGTGACAGGGTGTCGGGCACACTGAGCTCGACCACAACAGCGGTGCACACTGGTCCAGACGGAGAACAGGTTACAGGAAACGGACGGTGCCGTGGATGGCAAACGCGGTAACTGCAAGCAGTTTCTAAATGCAAGTAGATACGCGTGGAGTTCACGGACAATCCACGCTGGTTAGCGAAGCCGACGCGTTGAACGAACCCGCTCTAACGGGAACCCTACGCCCGTTCTGAACATATACAAGTGACACTTGTTATTACACCTACATGTGTACGTGATCTTTGCATGTCAATGCCAGCCCAGTGAGCTTACACCTTTTCATTGATCTTTGTATTTGTACGTAGAGTTTGGAACCTTCTTTTGTTTGATATGATCAACTTCAAAAGATTTATCAAGCGAGAGGGAACACAAACACACGCCGGGGCACGCCACGTCCGACAGCTGGTACCTGGATGATGGTCCGCGGGTTGTTGGACGCATACCACAGAGGGATGCCCAGCACGGAGATGCGCGCCGACTTGACGTTGTAGGACTCCGTGCACTTGGTGCTGACGACGCTGCCGCCGGCTGACTCCAGCGCGTAGTCGAACTTGCCCGTCTTGTCGGCGTCGTACAGAGCCAGCGTCTGGCGCGCGATGGTCTCCACGTCGGCCCGGCTGACGCCTGTAACGGCCACGGCCGGCGCGGTCTCCAAGGCCAGGTCTGCCGACAGTCCGCGCACATGAGTGTGCTGGAGATGGTACATGGGCGCTGTGCGGCCAGGGCAGCCCGTCACGACCCGCCGTAACAAGGGTAGTGGGGAGGGGGCGGTCTTAGGGCGCCAGGCCTCTGGACAGGACAGCGCGTCACAACCCACCTAAGGAAGGGGGGAGGTCTGAGAACGCCAGGCTTCTGGACAGGGGAGCGCGTCACATCTCACCTAAAGAAGGGGGAGGTCTGAGGGCGCCAGGCTTCTGGACAGGACAGCGCGTCAAAACCCACCTAAAGAAGGGGAGGTCTGAGAACGCCAGGCTTCTGGACAGGGGAGCGCGTCACAACCCACCTAAAGAAGGGAGGGGGTCTGAGGACGCCAGGCCTCTGGACAGGGGAGCGCGTCACAATCCACTTAAAGAAGGGGAGGGGGTCTGAGGACGCCGGGCTTCTGGACAGGACAACCCGTCACGGCCCACCTAAAGAACGAATGGCGGATGGTCTGAGGACACTAGGCTTCTGGACAAGAGAACGCGTCGTGACCCACCTAAAGACGTGGGGGGGGGGGGGGGGAGACCTAAGGATGCTAGGTTTCTTGACAGGACAGCACGTAATGATCCCACGACGTGGGCAGCGGAGAACACCTGGCGGCACCAAGTTTGACGGCTTGGTGGTGTCCGGACGGGGCAAGCCGTTACCTCGAAACACGCAGGGTGTGGACAGGTGATATGCCCGGGCCCAAGGAGACAGAGTCGCGCACGAGAAGGCACCTCCATGTCCCCGCGGGTACAGGATAAGCAGAGAATGACAGAATGATGCTATTCCACAGAATAACAGGGATGGGTGGCGTCCGGCGATACGCTCTGACCGTGGGAAGGTGAGAGCGACAGGGTCAACTCTGGACAGGGCAGGACGTCACCATACGCCAAGGGTGTCATCAGGTCCCGGTGTCTTCGCCATACACCGAAGATGTGATCAGGTCCCGGTGTCGTCACCATACACCGAGGATGCGATCAGGTCCTGGTGTCGTCACCATACACCGAGGGTGTGATCAGGTCCTGGTGTCGTCACCATACACCGAGGATGCGATCAGGTCCTGGTGTCGTCACCATACACCGAGGGTGTGATCAGGTCCCGGTGTCGTCACCATACACTGAAGGTGTCATCAGGTCCCGGTGTCGTCACCATACACTGAAGGTGTCATCAGGTCCCGGTGTTGTCACCATACACCGAGGATGTGATCAGGTCCCGGT